ATGGACTCAATATACAATTTAATTTAAAGCATAACATTATTTGTGACAATTAACTTTGAGTAACCTGTTTTCTTGTTGTTAATTTAAAGATGGGACACAAAATTGTTAAATTTATTTAATGCTAGTATAGTGCTTTTGCGAATATATGTCAAAATTTTAATGGCCATTGAATCAGAAAGACCTTTAAATTAAATAAGAAGCATTGGGACTTTTTCAATATTTGTCATGTTATAATCATATTTTTGTGACTAAAATTAATTATAAGATCTATATAAACAAAACTTATGGAGAAGTTTCTGTTTAAATTGGCTGTTGTCAAAAAAATATTTTAATGGTTTCCAATAAACCACTGATTAGTAAACTGTTGATGCTTAATTGCAGTGTTTATACAACTGATTTAATAGTGGTGTCAAACTGTTAGTTGATTGTCTGTGTTTGTACAACTAATTAGGTGATGAGATAACACCACAATTACTAAATTTTGTAAAATGGCTTCTGTTAAATAAATTGATAAGAAAATAATTAAAAAATAATATTTTATAAACATGTTTCGCATTTCATTGTTTAAGACTTACAAAAAAAATCATTATATTGTCAATATATTTAATGTATTATATTTTTTATATAATACCTCTAGTAGTGATTTCAATATTTAAACTGATTTTTATATTAACATGTCTTTGTTGTTCTTTCTATGTTATTTCTATTTTTTTTTCAATCTACTATAAATAGAATTTTCTCATGTTGTTACACTAATAATAAAAGTGATATTTCAGTCTTTTATTTACAGCTCTTATCACTCAACCCATAATTAAATGAGTAATCTTCTAATAATTTGTATAAACAATACTTTTGAAATCAACAAAAGAAACATTAAATTGAAATTTCATTTTTACACTGTTTGATATTAATGAAATTAAAATTTGTTAACTTTTCTGGTAAACATCTCTCAAAATTGGGAGTGAAACGTCCATACAATTGACAAAATGGGAGTGAAACGTCTAGGTGTGAACCGTCTTGGGAGTGAAACGTCTCAATAGTGAAACGTCTTGGGAGTGAAATGTCTGACATTCCATGTAAATGATATAAGTTTGTTACTGTGCTCATGTACTGAAAAGGAAAGCTATAGACACTATACTATAGACTAAGACTAAACTATTATTAGTTCTACTTAATTTGTTATTGTTTTCATTTTGTATATATCTAGTGTAAATATTTTAACCGTCCTGTGTTGTTTTTTCACTTTTATTGTTAAAATGTTATTTATATAAATGTCTCTTCACGCAAGTTTTCAAGTAAAGTTGTTTAATTGTAAAATTGCAAAAATGTTATTTATAAAAAAGTGTCTGTTCACATTTGTTTCGTTTGTTGATGATAATTTAATGTCTGTCCCATGTGTTGTTTTGTGTTTTGCTTCTTAATCTTTCAAATAAAATATTATCTATATATGTTGTAAATAATTGTTTGTGTATTATATTTTTTTCAAATAAAGTTTATGTTCTGTTCTGTTTGTATTTATTACTTTTCCCCTACTACTATTATAATCTAGTTTTTATACAAAATGATTAAATATATATATTAATTGATTCATTTTCATCATTGAAATGCTATTTATATATCGGTTTAAAATACAGTACATATTCTGGGGCCGATTTGGTAAAGGGCCGAAACGTCCGGGGCCGAAACGTCTTGGGTAGTTTGGGGGGAAACAGGACATTTCGGCCCCAAACCAAATCGGCCCCAGTCGAAAAATCGGCCCCTGGACGTTTCGGCCCTTTTCCGCGAGACGTTTCGGCCCCACTATAGTATATTGCTTGATTGATTAACAACAATTAATTTAATAACAATTAAACAATTATGACACTCACTTTAATTCTTTAAATAATTATTTATTATCTTTTGATCTCTTGAACCATTTAGATGTACGTTAATTTTTTTACCGGTACAAGTCAACCCGGCCCCAAGTCAGACCGGCCCCAAATTGGTCAACCCGGCCCCAAACCAATGTTATTTCTGGTCAACCCGGCCCCATTTTTTTATTATTTATTTTGCTTTAAAATGTAAACACTTATCAAGAAATAAAATAAAAATTAACAAAAAAACAACAACAAAAGTTTAACGATCATATCTTTTATTATTTATTTTATATAAAAACTTTCAATATTAACAAACAAGCAACACATGCATAATTTACTGTTTTTACAATGTCCAATGCATAGTTCTACAATGTTCAATGTATAGTTCTACAATTAATGTTCGTCACACACCCCTACAATGTTCACCACATACAAACACCAATTCACTCGTCGTCTTCTTCCGCCTCTCTTCTACCTATTTTTGTTGTAATTCGTCACAGAATGAACCTGTCTTACAATGTACAGATACGCCTGCATTTCCAACTTCCATTTCTACGTGCGATTTGTTATATTTTGTAGTTTTATCAGTTATCAGTTATAATGACATGAAGTGATTAAACACAATTAAAACACTATCAATTTTTCAAACACTTAGTAATATTCCAATACTTTTTTACACAGTAAATATTCTTTTTTACACAGTAAATATTCTTTGAAAATAAGTTAATAAAAAACGAAACAAATATTAAATTAATTATATGTACTTGTGATATAAATATCTTTTAAACGACCATGTAGGACTGGTATAAATATATTTAGCTTAACTGATTCTGGATACATCCACACATCATTTAATCCAGCACTTTGCAAAAGTCCTTTGACTTTAGACAACCAATTTACAGTATTAGACTTTGACTCTATCTCCAATCTCTGACAATTAACGATATAATTTAATATACAATTGCTTGTTTTATTTTGATATATTTTTATAAAATATTTAACAATTCTTACATGACGTGAAATATATAATGGAAATCGGCCTACTTCTGCAAATAATGAAAGAGTATTTGTTGACATTTTCGCATTAAGCAACCATTTACAGAACTTCCTATGTACAATTTCCAAATTTTACGATGGTATGTTACCCCATACCTCACAGCTATATGTATATAACATAAATATTCAAAAAAGTTTAAACCCCAGCAGTGACCTTGAACTAAGGCGTAGGAACACGGGTCTTAAGCGCAACACATCATGCATTTATGATAATTTCATATGCGAAATAAAAATATAATCCTTTTATTCATATTAGTTTTAGAGCAGACACGACCATCTCTGCCTATATGTATATTAACATCAAAATTGACAAAGTTTGAACCCCCGCAGTGACCTTGACCTTGTAGAAACCTGAGTCTTGTTCGTGGCACCCCATATATATCTATGGTTATTGAATATGTGAAAGAAAAATTAAAATCCTTTCATGCATACTGCAGTTTCAGAGTGGACACGACCACCACCTTCTATATTTATATAACATAAAAAATGACAAAGTTTGAACCCCCACAGTGACCTTGACCTTAGTCGTAGGAACCAGAGTCTTGTTCGTGACACACCATACATTTATGGTTATTTCATATATGAAAGAGTAATTAAAATTCTTTCATGAATACTGAAGGTTTTAAAGCGGACAGGACCACCTCCTTCTATATTTACATAACATAAAAAATGACAAAGTTTGAACCCCACAGTGACCTTGACCTTAGTCGTAGAAACCCGAGTCTTGTTCGCGACTCACCATACATCTATGGTTATTTCATATATGAAAGAAAAATTAAAATACTTTCATGCATACTGAAGTTTCAGACACTACCTCCACTGTCTATATGTATGAAGCCTGACAGACAGACAGACGGACGGTTCGATTTTAATATGGCACCCTTCAGGGGCATATAAACATCTAAGTTCAAAGGGGAAATAATTCCGGTCATTAACGGTCACCAGTTTCCAAAGACCTTCTTCTATATTGATCGATTATTGTCAACTATATTCTTGATACAAACGTTTATTTATCCACCCACCCAAACAATGTTGAAGATAGTTAAATGAAATATCTTTATATCATCAAAAATGTTCCCCGCAGGAAACCATTTTACTTGTCAGTACTTTACATAACTATTCTAAAAATAGATTATGATTCATGGAAAATTTTGCAACAGTATCAATTGACCATGATTATAAAAATAATAAAGTTTAACAAAATATTTGTAACAATAAAACTAGTAACTGATATCAACTAAACATATTTACAAACATATATTAATCATGCAAATGCTAAATTAACAATATGTATCTTACTAAGTTTAAAGGCCAGTGTAATTGAAAGTAGAACCTGATTCTCTATATATTGTATGTAAAGAGTCTTAGGCCATGCTAAGTTACTGTTAAAGAGTGTATCAATAAGTTCTACAAACTATAATTAACATTAAACTAAAGAATGAAATGTCTATAAAACAAAACAATGTTCAATATGATTAAACTTTAAAATAAACTTAAATCTAAATTAAAGCTTAAAACCTTAATATTTCTTGAAAAATATTCCTTAAGATTTTACATGTTATACTTCTTGAGTAATATTACACAACATTATGTAATGATTACATAACCTGTTGTAGTTGGAATCCAACTTTACAACAATACACCGGTTTTGGAAAAAGAAAAAATTTATTGCGAAAAGCAATAAATTTTTTCAAAATAAAACTTGAACTTAAACTATATTAAAGATACTTCATAAAATAGCATATAATCATATCAAAAATGTTCATGTCAATATAATATATGGTTGAAACTATAAAGTATAAAACAATAAACTAACAAATCTACTTAAAGAACGAATAAAGAACATATTTACAAAATATACAAACATTTTAAATAATAATTATTAACCTCATGTTACTTGGAAATGGAAATATCTATAAATGAGATCTATGTATCATGTAGATAAAAGATGAGAGTTAAATAATTATAATGTCATGTCCTCGAATAGAAGAATGATTGTAATAATATTATCAATATAATATGATAAAGTTGTACAATATTATTTCTTCTTTTGTCGTCATCGGGGTTTTCTAGTTCGTCTTGTTCGGGTTTTCTTTTTTGTCATGTTCGGGGTTACTAGTGTGCTGACACAGCCACCTGAAATGTTCATACTGTGCCCAATGTCTTTGCACTAGATTTTGTCACTAATGTGGGATATGATATTTATGCGCGATAATAGATATGTAGTGCATGATGGCACAACCACCTTAAATGTTCATTGCACCCAATGTCTTTGCACTATTATTATTCAATGTTGCGCGATATCATTATTTTGTCTCTCAGATGCAGGATTTGGTACTGTTTCTCAGATGCGCGATTTAATTATATTTACTCAGATGCGCGATCAATTGATTTGTTTCACTTTGCGCGTTATTTATTTCACTTGTATCAACACTTTATTCTACACTTTAGATTTTCTTTATCACTATTCATAAAACACTTGTTACTGAGTTAGGTTCGTCAATTCTTTGCCCATTTGCTTCTATGTCGTTTTTCAAGATAAGAGCCAATGCCGGTAAGTAGTATCATTTCCAGCTGAAACCCACCATGACATTTTTGAGCTTGGACAGGGTGTGGTTACTTTCTGTTACGGAAGGCTTTAAGGAAATTACGAAACTTCCTTTTGAAACCATCATCCACAGCAAGTATAATAATGAAACGAGGATCAAAACAGCGCATACGATAATAACCAAACCAGGCATGTTTAACTTCCATCTATTATCTTGACCAGGAGGTTGTGAAGTCACGTGTTTTTTTGCGCCATACTCTGAAATAAGAAACAGTTGAAATCAGAAAATATTATTCAACGATTATGATGTCGCTTTTAATGATACATATATGTGGCTCAGGCATTGTATAGTTCTTATATAGCGTATTGGGAATCGATGCGCAGTAAGGGCGACAACTCGCACGGAAAATATCAGTATGACTTGAGGAGTTGTTCTCCCTTTAAGTTATGAAAGGACTGGGGCTCAGTAACAACAATCACTTTTATTAGAAGCCACGTCACAATAGTAACAAAATGACTGATTAACATAAAATAAAGAGTGGGTAAATATAACATGATACGTAATACAAATTCTACTTTAACGTTATTTTCATCACATAACAACTTGACCATTTGTCCTTATATATCCCACACAACATCCATGTTTTTTTCAGTATTGTGTTTGTAAGATTTTTAACACCACAAGGTAACATATAATACTGGTTCATGCTTTGAATAGATAAAAGGGAAGATTGACAATCGTTAACCTCGAATAAACATTTAGATGATGAAAAAAATACAAACCTGGGCATAACTTGTCACAGGAATGTGAATATAAAGACGGCGTGTCACAAAGCCATCCGTAATCCCTACACTTCCCTGTAGGTGCATCGTAGTAATAACCTTTTCCACAATTTCCTACAACAACATTAGTGTTTTAAAGTTACTTAAACACAACTGAAACATATACGAGTATTACTGGATATGAACGATCGTCCGTTCGTCTATGTAAACAGGTTCTTCCGCAAATACAGCAGATCGTAAACGTAAGTCCATGATTATCATTGTTGTAAATATAAATCCATTCGAATAAGAAAACAAAAAATAAAACTTACTCCGATTTCAATAAAATTAGAGTACAGTAGACGTGTTATCTTAAGTTACATAGTTTAATAATGGAATACAGGTAGATAGAGTAGTTTGACTTTCTTTTTATTCGTTTTATATACGATGCTTTATCTTCATGTGTTATCTACTTAAAAATAAATATTTAAAAGATAAAGATATTAAACAATTCTTACCATCCGCCATCGCACCACGTTAAGAATGCTAGTGTCAGTTTAAATTAATGTGTATTCAACCAATTAATTCATTCTAAAAATGTTTTGGGGGCAATACACAGTTTTCAAGGCTTCTCGGCAAACAACTGACTGCGCCACAATCAAAACCTCACACACAAGTCTGTAATCACACACCTGAAATAAATGCATCTCATATTTAACATATACATATGTATCTCACAGCAAACAATTAAAAATACATGTCCCCCTTCTAGTTTTCTGTCACATAGCCCTGTGTTTTTAATTGTTTTGGTCGCGAAAATCAACGACAAAAATAGCGGATTACCCCTATTCGCAAAATACAACAATATATTAACGTCAAAAGATTAAATCACAAGCTATAGTGATTCTTCCTTCTTAAACAATGCACAATCTGAAAATAACATCCAAACGGGGAGTCATGCACCTACTTTTTTCACTATTTTAAGTCTTCTGCATACCCTTTAAATTGAAGAGCTGATTCACCGCCTAGCTCCAAAAACCAAATGTTCGCATCCGACAGGTGCTCTCTCAAAAAAGCAAGGGTTAACGCCACTAAATTCAATTTTACTAAATAACTGAAACACAATACTAGTCATTAAAACTTGAAATATAGCAACTATAAACATTTAGAACCTCAAATATCCACTTCAATTTCAAAATTGTCTCTTATTTGTAAATTCCACCTGGCCAATTCGAAACTAAACAGCCGAAACTGTGTACTGCCTCCTTTATATATATAAAATATAAGTAACGTGTGGGTTTTTCCCACTAAAACATTATTTTGCGCATGTCACTAAGGGGGTCTCCCTAATTACCCAATCGCAACTACTCGGCCCTTTCCGTCAGTCTTCGGATAAGGACAATGTAGATAATGGCCGAGACAGTTCCGAATGCCTAATTACCGACAAGAACCGTCAGGAACCGACAAGAACCGACAAGAGCCTATATATTACAAACAAACAAAATCAATCGTTGATTGGTTGTTTAGAAGGGTATTTCCCGGTTCCAATTATTTTTACACAGCGTGACACTCGGTAGTAACTACTAATTCTAAGGCTGTAGTTATCGACACATGGACGCAATTATCGACAGGTACTTTTTAATTGAGGACACTAATCCTTTTTAATGGACATATTGATAATAATTATGTTTTATAATATCATGACAATCATTATATTGCAAAAAAGTATTTACTTAAATTAATAAATCGTGATTTACATGTGTTTGCAGTTTATTTTTTAATTGAATTGAACTTTGAACCCAAGTTGCAGACCCCTAAATTTTAAGAAAAATGATAAGTCAATAACCAATTTCAATTTTTTATTCAGATGTATTGATGTAAGCAGAGATAGTAAAGACTGTGATGTAAGTACATGTTTAAGGTAACATACCTTTGATGTAAGTATAAGATAACATACAGACATAGTTAATTCAACAAACCATTGCATTTGAATACCACCACCACCACCAACATCATCATCATCATCGGAATCCATGTATGGTATATTTTCCTCAGAAGAGGTATTGCTGGCATATATATGCCTCTACTTTTTTTCTTCTTTTCTATCAATTTCATTTTCTTTCTTATCTTTTACAACTCTTTCTTTCTTTCTCTTCCTCTCTCACTTTTCTTGCTTTATCTTTCTATCTTTCTTACTCCTCTTTTTCTGGTCTTCTCTTACTTTCTCTCACATTAACAAATTCAAAGCAACAGAACCTTTACAACACTTTAGGGATTTTATTTCTAATGGAATTGACTTTTCTTTTCTTTATTTCAGGGATAATGAGTTTATTAAAGGCAGAAGACTTGTCTGAGACAGTTGAAGTATATGTAGTTGCTACTATAAGCTCAGAGTCAGATGGACCCACTTGCCTTTAGGAGATATTAAGGGGAAAAGGCCTGATCACTTAAGAACTTAGTCAAAATCTCTTTCTTGGATAGTGAATAACCTGAAATATAAAATAAAGATTCATAGTCATGGCAAATGAGTTTAAATAGATGAAGAACCTATTAATATATATAAGGACATTTGTTTTGAAATATTTAGTAAAGAAGTTATCAAAATTACATACATTTGTAGTATAAAATACATGAACCATAACATCATTAAAAGGTGCAATTCATAGATTATTTCAGCATATAATTTTTGTTTTCTGATTTCAACAGAGTATATTCCAAAATTCAAGGTAAAACTTTTGCCATCAGATTTGCATAGTTTATAAATTTGAGCTTTCTCCTCAGCAGGAGTCGAAACTGACGGAGGTCCGGGCCTTGTTGGCATTTCAGGAACTCTTCCCAAATGGTTATCTTAAAGGGTGGTCCTTGGAACCCCATATAGCCTGGCAGCCTTTACCTTCGACATCCCATTACATCTCATAGTTGACTTCAACTTCCCCTCATTTTGGGTGGCAAGTATTGGACCCTCTTATGATTTTGAGATGACATCTAGAACAGGAGTAATATTCTTTCATGACTGTATTGAAACCTATCATCTTTATGACTTTAAAGTTTAAAATTTGTCTGAGGTAGAACTAAATGTTTACTGTTGAACATTATATGTAAATGGATAATTGAATAAAACATTGATATACTATATAGTTACATTATTTTTATACTCTTCAATAAAATTGTTTTAAAAACATAAATTTTTATTTAAAATTTGCAATGTGTCGATAACTGTAGACCTATCTGTTTACTGGACGTAGTTATCGACACCCCCCTACAACTGTATCAATACTGTTAATATTGCATATTTAGTGGTCTGCAACCCATACATGCATGCAAATTTGACTTGACCAAACTGCGTGGACTTTTGCAAAATAGCAAAAAGAACGTGCAGATAGTGTTTCAGGGAAATGATTACCTCAAATGTATTTGACAAGTTAATTTGAAAATTTTAAATAATGAAAAATAATAAAACTGTCGATAACTATAGACTGTCGATAATTGAAGCACTTGCTCTATATTTTTTATATTTGATAAGGTTTTTTTGTATTTTTATAGAAAATTAAATATATGCGTACCGACAAGAAAAATTCGAGTGCAACGCGTATTGTTACTGTTACGTTGACACCGACAAGAAAGATTTGTTATTTCCAATATAATATAAATAATATAATCAGTTGCAAAAGTTGTGGTCAGAATATCTTATAAACATGTTTCAACCTTATCTGTAGTCATAAAATAGTTTTTCATGACATTGCATGAATGTATATGCAACCGACAAGAAAAAAACAGGGATCATGCGTAATGAAGATTTACCGACAAGAAATTGAGAACGAGCTGTAGTGTAGATGTAGAACATGTATATAATCTTTTTTTTGTAATTAAATAACTTTTAAGACTTTAAACTTTCAAATTGTAATGCATATAAGAAAAAATATTTGTGTTTATTCCATTTAGTTTTAAAATATATTTTAACAAATCGATTACCGACAAATTAAACATTCTCACATCACATAAACCATTATTTTATAGTCAAGTATATAATTTTTTATAATATAATCCATGTCATGTGTCATTTATGTATTATATGTTGTATTTGTAAATTTAATATGGTGATAAGCTTTTTATGCTTAAACCAAGTAATAAAGTTTCTGTTCTGTTCTGTTCAATGTACGAATTATCTCTTCTTCCACAGCTGTTCATTTCGAAATTGTTTTCGCACCTTTTCACCCTTAAAGTTTTCACAGCTTTGATTAAATTAAATCGCTCAAAGCTAACTGAGTGAGAAACACCCCAAGACACCCTAAGACACCCCAAGACTATCCTAAGACACCCCAAGACTATCCCAAGACACCCCAAGACTACCCCAAGACTATCCCAAGACACCCCAAGACTACCCCAAGACACCCTAAGACACCCCAAGACTACCCAAGACACCCCAAGACTACCCCAAGACACCCCAAGACTACCCCAAGACACCCCAAGACTACCCCAAGACACCCCAAGACTACCCCAAGACACCCCAAGACTATCCCAAGAGACCCCAAGACTATCCCAAGACACCTTAAGACACCCAAAGACTACCCCAAGACACCTTAAGACACCCAAGACTATCCCAACACACCCAAAAACTACCCCAAGACACCTTAAGACTACCGCAAGACATCCCAAGAATCTTCTTAATGGAAATTAACTTATAAATTGGAAAAGTTTTATAAATATACGACCCTGTAGGAGATAATCTCAGGGGAGTAACTAGGTACAACCGATATCATTATTGGATTTAACTCCATGGAGTTGTGAAACAGGTTGGAATAAAAAAAATAAGATGTAATTCTTGTGTTTCTTCAATCATATTTTAATAATATGTTTGTTTGTATGTGTTTGTATGTGTTAACTAAAATATAGCTTGAATTACATTGCAGCGACAATTAATCGATTAATTAATCAAAAATGCGTCACTCATAAAATGACATTGTCGCAGAAATAACCTTACACTACATCAAAATAGAGTTATAATCAGCGCCATTAGGTTGATAACTTGTTGACACGTACGTGTGATATCCCTGAGAAGGGAGATAATTCTATACATGTGAAAACATAGTTACCTCCCGTGAACACTGTAAAATAAGATCGTAATTACATATCAGTTAAACAAAGTGTCTTGGGGTAGTCTTAGGGTGTCTTGGATAGTCTTGGGTGTCTTGGGATAGTCTTGGGTGTCTTGGGGTAGTTTGGGGTGTCTTGGGTGTCTTGGGTAGTCTTGGGGTGTCTTGGGATAGTCTTGGGTAGTCTTGGGGTGTCTTGGATAGTCTTGGGGTGTCTTAGGATAGTCTTGGGGTGTCTTAGGGTGTCTTGGGGTGTTTCTCACTCAGTTAGCTTTGAGCGATTTAATTTAATCAAAGCTGTGAAAACTTTAAGGGTGAAAAGGTGCGAAAACAGTTTCGAAATGAACAGCTGTGAAAGAAGAGATAATTCGTACATTGAACAGAACAGAAACTTTATTACTTGGTTTAAGCATAAAAAGCTTATCACCATATTAAATATACAAATACAACATATAATACATAAATGACACATGACATAAATTATATTATAAAAAATTATATACTTGACTATAAAATAATGGCTTATGTGATGTGAGAATGTTTAATTTGTCGGTAATCGATTTGTTAAATATATTTTTAAACTAAATGAATAAACACCAAATATTTTTTCTTATATGCATTACAATTTGAAAGTTTAAAGTCTTTAAAGTTATTTAATTACAAAAAAAAGATTATATACATGTTCTACATCTACACTACAGCTCGTTCTCAATTTCTTGTCGGTAAATCTTCATTACGCATGATCCCTGTTTTTTTCTTGTCGGTTGCATATACATTCATGCAATGTCATGAAAACTATTTTATGACTACAGATAAGGTTGAAACATGTTTATAAGATATTCTGACCACAACTTTTGCAACTGATTATATTATTTATATTATATTGGAAATAACAAATCTTTCTTGTCGGTGTCAACGTAACAGTAACAGTACGCGTTTGCACTCGAATTTTTCTTGTCGGTACGCATATATTTAATTTTCTATAAAAATACAAAAAAAACCTTATCAAATATAAAAAAATATAGAGGAGCAAGTGCTTTCAATTATCGACAGTCTATAGTTATCGACAGTTTTATTATTTTTTCATTATTTAAAATTTTCAAATTAACTTGTCAAAACATTTTGAGGTAATCATTTCCCTGAAACACTATCTGCACGTTCTTTTTGCTATTTTGCAAAAGTCCACGCAGTTTGGTCAAGTCAAATTTGCATGCATTTTACAACCGTTGCATCAATTTGTTTACTAGACAGGACAGCTTACGTCACAGGGTAAGGCAGTCAGTTACGTAATATCTGAAAGTTGTGATTTTCGCTTTATTTTTCCGAGAGTTATTCCACTTTGTTTAGTCTTATATTAGATGTGTATGGGTTGCAGACCACTAAATATGCAATATTAACAGTATTGATACAGTTGTAGGGGCAGGGTCGATAACTACGTCCAAGTAAACAGATAGGTCTACAGTTATCGACACATTGCAAAATTTTAAATAAAAAATTTATGTTTTTTTTAAAACAATTTTATTGAAGAGTATAAAAATAATTTAACTATATAGTATATCAATGTTTTATTCAATTATCCATTTACATATAATGTTCAACAGTAAACATTTAGTTCTACCTCAGACAAATTTTAAACTTTAAAGTCATAAAAGATGATAGGTTTCAATACAGTCATGAAAGAATATTACTCCTGTTCTAGATGTCATCTCAAAATCATAAGAGGGTCCAATGACTTTGCCACCCAAAATGAGGGGAAGTTGAAGTCAACTATGAGATGTAATGGGATGTCGAAGGTAAAGGCTGCCAGGCTAAGGGGTTCCAAGGACCACCCTTTAAGATATAACCATTTGGAAGAGTTCCTGAAATGCCAACAAGGCCCGGACCTACCGTCAGTTTCGACTCCTGCTGAGGAGAAAAGCTCAAATTTATAAACTATCGCAAATCTGATGGCAAAAGTGTTTACCTGAATTTTGGAATATACTCTGTTGAAATCAGAAAACAAAAATTATATGCTGAAAAATTTTAATC